GTGTGTGTGTGTGTGTGTGTGTGTGTGTGTGTGTGTGTGTGTGTGTGTGTGTGTGTGTGTGTGTGTATATATCTGTATATATATATAATTTTCACATATTACAGAAAATAAACCTGTTCACATGGGACCTGCAATAAAATATTGGGCTATTAAGTGATTTTGATCAGCTTTCAGATAATTTAAGTATCTCTTCTCTTAAGATAGTTGATTCTGTTTCTTTTATTATTTGGATTTCTATCCGCAGCAGGTGATAACTTATATGTATGAAAATTCTCTTTAGGTTGCTTTTTTGCCTCTCCTCTTCAAGGATTTTTTCCCTGATTTTGTATTTTGTGGGAAATGTAAGATTCCTCCATTATATCCCACCACAGTGAAATGGCTTTTGGTAGTTAACATGATATAAAGAAAAACTATAAGTGGGGATAAACACTAGATAACAGGGAAATCAAAGATAAAACAAACATGAAAGCACAGATGGCCGAATATTCCTTATGGAATATTTTTGGCATTTTTCTGAACATAGGAAGATGATCAGCCTGATGTCCTCAGAAAAACCTAGCCTTAGCTCATTTACCTATTTGTAACCACAGTGATATACATGTATTTAAAATACATACAGTTCTGTCTGTATTATTTCTCAGTGATTATGGCAACATGTGGTACCTTAAAGAATAACCATTTCATAAGTTTCATAATATATGGGTAGGATGAGAGGTGAGTAAATAGCAAATTCAGAAGGAAACAAAATGCAAAAAAATCCATAGTAAGATAACTTCATTATTAAAAATGGACATGAATATTTATTTCTGTTTCTCTCTTTTTCTTCTTTAAAACACACATTTGATCAATACTGGGAAATCAGATGACAGCTTGCCTATCACAGATAAAAATGACACAGGATCTGACCAGACTAAACTTGAACCCCTAGAGGAGGTGAAGCTTGGATCTTCTTGGAAAAAAACAGATGAGGATCTCTGTAAAGAGGAGTCTGATGCTTTGATTCAGGAAATAACAAAATGTGACCTTTCTACTTGTCACAGAGTAGATCCTGAGGGTACAGAGCCTCAGCTAATGGCACCAGAAGAAAAGATTGACAGAAGTCAATGCTTATCTTTAGACTTCCTTGAAGCTGGTGGGCCTCAGGCTGTGGAGTCAACAGAGTTGGCTAGCAATCCTCAAGTTGCCGCAGAAGCTGCTGGTTCTTCACCTTCAGAATCTCTCCATGATAAGAAGCCTGAACCTAGCGAAACCTCAGAAGGGGGCACACCTGAGCCTTCAACAGAGGAAATTCGATGTTTTGTAACAGAAATTGTGACGGAACTGCTTATGGATGAAGAGGAACAGCTAACAGATGGTAATAAATATTCCTTTGCAACAATTTCAAGGGATAGGTTCAAACAATTATTTTTATGTGTGAATAGCAATAGTGCTTACACTTATATATTTGTTTCACAGTGCTTTACAACCCATTCTCTAAGTGGTTTATGGAGTCAGCATATTGCCCTTAACTTTCTTGGTCCTCTGCTTGGGAACAGAAAATTTTGCTCAGTGGATTTGAGCAAGTATTTGAGTATTTGAAAGTAATAACAATAATTTATCTTGGAAAAGTAATATAAAGGTATAATAGCTATTCAAGATTAAATGACCACATGCTATCAAGTATTAATTTTTCCTTGTTTGTTCCTCCCTCCAATAACTTACCAGATAAAGTGGTAATTAGATAGTAATTTTAAATATACTGCTCTATCTAGCAGTATATTTAGCGAATATATGCAAATAGTAGTAACCATCTCTAATATGGAAATGGATTTGCTCATTGCTAAGGATAATATTGTATTACAGGTCAGATACAATTATTCCCATGCTTGTATGAATTGTTGACCCAAAATACATGTGTTGTTTGGTTTAGACTACTGGAATCTATTTTCCTCCAAAGTGCCATATTGCATTGATTTATGGTACATCTTGTTCACACTAAGAATGCATAGAAATTGAGATGATCATAGAAAGGAGGAAGTAATAGTGATCCTGCATTTTTACATAAGACCCAACAAACTTTTTTTTAAAGATAATTGTGGCCTACAAATATAGATTCTTATACTGTATCAGTATGACTGGATCTATGAAAAATGTGTTCTGCTGGAAACAGCGTCTGTAGTATTTTATTGAATTACTTTAACAAAGTAGATACTTTTTTAGGGAATGGGAATTCCATCTATATGTATTTACATATTTTGACTTAGAATGCCAATAAATCAAAATGGTTTAATATAGATTTAGTAATTTAATTTCTAAGTAGTTTTACCAATTTTTTCCAGCCACAAAAAAAGCTAAATGAAGGATACAAATAGTTGCAATGATAAAAAAAGAGCCTTTCATGACTGAATTTCTAAAAAACAAATACCTATATCTCAACAGCAATACTAGGTATCTCTTGTGCTTTTTCCTAGTTAAAGAAAATCTATAGCTGACAGAGTAACATCTGTAGTTTGTTGAGACATTTAGTGCTCTTTTCAGTGTTCCTTGCCTTGATCTCTATAGTTACTGTACCAGGTGAAGCAGGAGAAAAGGTGGAAACTGAGACGCACCATGAGATAATACCTGGGGCCTCGGAAACAAAAGAAGAAACCAGAGAAGCTACACTGGTCACGGAGATAGGTATGTTGATGGAGAACACAAAAAATGTAATACAATGTAATATATTACGAACGCAGTATATTGTATTGATATTCTCGTGTGTTCTACAGCAGATAGTCAGGTAGCAGCCTGTGAATTGATATGTACATTTGCTGGGAATTTCTTTGAGAAAGTGTTTCAGAAGATATGATAAATAAGCATATTCAAAAGAGAACTAGAGATATGGAATGAATCATAGATGGAGATGACCTTAAAAGTCATATGGTCTCACCTCTTGTTCAGAGCACTACAAATATATCTTTTTGCCCTGTTTAAAGACCTCCAGCAAAAAGATCATCACTTTATGTGATAGCCCAGCAATGGCGAACCTTTTTTGGCTTGCGTGCCATAAGTGGGGGGAGCGCAGGGGGGGTGCTACCCCCCATTTTTTGCATCCTTTTTTCGCCCTCCCCAGGCTCCAGAGGCTTTATAGGAGCCTGGGGAGGGCAAAAAAAGCCTCCCCCGCCCCCCTGGAGACCCTCCAGAGGCTTTGGGGACCTTCAGGAGGCTTCCCTAAAGCCTCTGAAGGGCAAAAAAAAGACCCTACGAGTAATGTTTCCTTTTTTTTCAGTGTGTGTGGAAAAGTATAGTATTTGAGCGGCACATTTTCATGCCTGAGCACCTGAATTTTTTTTAGCCATAGTTGCCATCAGAGCAGATGTTGGGGAGGGGGGCAAGGAGGAAAAGGGTCCCCTCTCTCTCCCTCAGATCCCCAGGAAGGAAGGGAAGGGAGGGGGAGGGAAAGGAAATGGGAAAGAAGAAAAGGAAAGGAAAAAAGAAAGGAAGTGGAAAAGAAGGAAAGGAAATGGGAAAGAAGAAAGGAAAGGAAAAGAGAAAGGAAAGAAAAAAGAAAAGGAAATGGAAAAGAAGGAAAGGAAAGAAGAAAGGAAAGGAAAGGAAAAGTGAAAGGAAAGGAGAAAGAAAAGGAAATGGAAAAGAAGGAAAGGAAAAGAGAAAGGAAAGGAAAAAGGAAAGGAAATAAAAAAGAAGGAAAGGAGAAAGGAAAGGAAATGGAAAAGAAGGAAAGGAAAAGGAAAGGAAAAGGAAGATAGAAGAAGGACAGAAAGGGAAAGGAAAGAGTGGAATGGATTGGTACTGCTCAAAAATCAAGTCTCAAGATCCCATGGACCACTTTGGCTCAGGCAGTCCAACTCCACGCTGCTTCTCTCTCACCCCAAAGCAAAGGGATCGCAGAAAAACTGCTGAGCCCAGAACGGGGCTTCAGATGACGCAATGCCTGAGAAATCCCGGATGTGCAGAGAAACGCAGGCTACAACCAGCGAATCCCATTTTCCCAGGAACCGACGAAGCCCCAGAGGACCAATGGGAATTCTTCCTTCTGCAATGTCATTGGTCTCCGGGCAGAGTCTTCCTTGATTTCACCAATCACCAGATGGAGGAGAGAGTTCAGTGCAGAGATAGAAGGGAGGAATGGGGGATAGTTTCAGTCACATTTAAAGACATTAAAAAACACTGCGCTGCAGTTTGAAACTTGTGCGCAGTGTTTTCTTGTTACCTGCGCGGCCGCACAGGCACGCAGCTTAGAGGGTACATTGCCTATAAGCAAACTGGAAATGATTTTGAGCACTCCGGAAGCTTCAGGGACCTTCAGGAGGCTTCCCTGAAGCCTCAGGGGCACTTAAAAAGATCCTCCGAGCAAACTGGAAGTCCGTTCCCGAACTTCTGGTTTGCCCATAGGGTCAGTTTTTTGCGCTCCGGAGGCTTCAAGGAAGCTCATGAAGGGCCTTGGAGTGGGGGGAGGATCTTTTCACCCTCTCCAGGCTCCTATAAAGCCTCTGAAGCCTGGGAAAGGTGAAAAATGGCTTTAAAAAAGGCTGAACTCAGCTGGCCAGCGTGCACATGCGCACTGGCCAGCTGACAGGGCAGCGCCTCGTGTGCCATAGGTTTGCCATCCCGGTGATAGCCTATGTACATTCAGAAATAGCCTTTTCATATCTGGTTTGAACCTCTTTCCTTGTAGTTTTAACTTACTAGTTCTGGTCCTGCCCTCTGAGGCTAGGGAGAACAAGTAGGCCTCAACTTGTGACTGCTTGCTTAGTGACCATTCAAGTAAGTAGCTCGCAGACTAGTTACAACCTAGATTCAAAGTTCTAACAGCTGCCATTCATCCCACTAACTCCAGTCACATGACTATTCTGGGCACTCAGTAATTAGTCCACATGTATAGATTTTGCAGCGTCCTGCAGTCCTCTGATCACAATTCACAATTTATTTTTTACCAGAAACTGGCATTTACTTTAGGTTTCTGGCAAAGACACCCATTGCAAAAAATAGGTTCACTTTCTGACTGCAGCATTTGTTTAATGACTGTCACAAAAGAAGTCATAAAATCAGTCACGGTCACAATCTGCTTAATGACCAGCACAACGCAATAATCATAATTCACTCAACGCTCAGTAACAGTCATAAGTCAATAGCTGCCTGTATAAGTCCATTACCTCTTCTGTGTGACAAGTTTTTATTTGAAGACTGCTGTCATATTTTTCCTAATCTATTTTTTCTGTAACCTAAACATTCCCAGACTCTTTAACTCAGGGTTGTCAAACTCGCAGCCTGCGGGCTGGATGCATCATTCACTGGCCATGCCTAAGCCCATTTTAGCGAAGGGGGAAAAGTTGTGATATGTCATGTGATGACACCGTGACGACATGAGTTTGACACCCCTGCTTTAACTGTTCCTCAAAATGCTTGGTTTCAAGACTCACCATTTTCGTAGTCTTTCTCTGAATTCATTTTTTTTGAACTGGGGTATCCAGAACTAGACAAAAATTCTAAATGATATCTGAGTAAGGTAACGGAAATGCTACAATTAAATCCCAATGATGTAAGCTTTAATGCTCCTGTTAACACAGGAATTGCTTTTTTTTTAAAGCAGTGCAGAAGACTGCTGGTTCATGTTTGACTTGTGACTTGTTAGCCCCTTCAGATTTCCACCTTCCTTTACTCATGTCATTCCTTTCCCCCCCCCCTATAATCCTCCTAGTCACTCCCCTCCAAAGATCATTGTTGAAATTTTTTAGCTTAATTTTCTGCACCATAGGAAAGAAATACTGTAACGGGTATTGGGGAAAGGCTGCATCAAAGCAAGCTGCAAATTGGACAGATTTAGCATTTGGTTCCTACACCTTTACACTATTGTTCAGTTCAGGATGCTGTTTTAAAAGTGAAAGCATAGTCTTCTGATGTAAACCAACTAGCTGATAATAATAGCGGGAAGTACTTGGAAAATGAGATGCTTAATTAAACACTCTTAATTCCATAGTTACTATTTGCCAAACTTGTTTTAGAAAGAATCAGATTGTTGCTATAGCTTTGAGATTTCCCATTCTCACTCATCTGACTACCTGGAAGTCAAAGCAAGTAAAGACAAACAAAAAAGAACAAGCAGTTCTTGTTCTTTAATATCTTTTTATTGCTTCTGACAGCAAAGGTTTCCTTCCTTTTAAAATTATTTCAGGGAGGAAAATAGGTAACTGTCTCCCATCAAAGTACTAACTGGGACCCATAAGGGTTGGCTACATCTTACCACAGTGCTGAGATACACACACACATGCACACACAATTTTATTTCAAATTTCTTTTTAATGAACTACAACCTGGATTGTTTCCACTAGACTGTCTTCTATCGCTTCCTCCCTGAAGGAGTGATATCCTTTACCTGGTGAGAGCATATAGTCCTCCAAAGTAGAAATTGGTCTTTGGTTATTCTGAGTAGACTGGAGGCTGGAGTTCATAAAATAATTTTTTGGGGGTACCTCCAAATCTGTGCTAACTCCTAACAACTGCCTGAACATGTCCCTGCCATTTTCTTGGCAAGATTTCAGAAGTGATTTGCCATTGTGTGCTTCCTAGGGAAGAGAGAGAATGACTGGTCACCCAGTCAATTTTGTGCCTAAAGTGGAACTATAATTCAATCTCTTGATTTTTAGCCTGTTACATTAACCTTTACATCAAATTGGTTCTCTTTTAGGAATGTTTGGAGTGCTGCAAATTATCCATCCTTGATCTAGTTGGATTTCTAGATTATCTATTCAGTTTTAGAATCTCTTTTCTTTCTTTCTTTTTTAATAAAAGTTTTATTTTCAAACACAAACACACAACACATATAACATAAAAGCCTCTTCAACCGATTTGTTAGGTGGTCTTTATGTGTTCTTTCCATAGTCATCACTTGAATTTTATCAAAATTTACATATTGTCAATCAAGATATCTTTGTATACATTGTTATTATGCTTCCTTTGTTTGATTATCACTGTTGTCTCCATTTTAGGCAGGGAATTCTAAATATATAATCATTAATATTATAATGATTCATTATATCATCTTCAATATATCCAATAATAGTTATTTTTTTATCCTATTCTACGTCATTCTATTATTATAGAATAACATTCTTATTATAGAATAACATATTATAGATAACATTCTCTAATAATTTTCAATTCCATGTTTTTCCCCATTATTAGTATCATCAATCTAATGTATACATGTATACAAATTGTTATATTAAACATCCATTAATCCTAGCTATTATTACATCCTTTCAACATAAGGCATATTAAATTTGAAGTAAATTTATATTATGACATTTTATTACATCATTCTGAAATCATCCAGTGATTTTACATCTTTATATTCTATTCTATATAGAATTGTTTATCTTTTATAAAAAGGCTTTTCAACATCATCTCCATAATCCTCACAGTGTGTAGAAAATTTCATATTATCAATCTAGTATATATAAATGCTTTATCATTATTAATCATTTATTTGACTATAGTTATTATTGTTGTACATAGCACTCAAAATATAACTACATTTAACTAAAATTTATTGTGACATTTCATTTCATCATCCTGTATACTTCCAGAAATAGTGTAGTCCAATATCTCTTGCCATTTGTAAAGTCTGTATTCTAAATGTTTTCTTGATAAGTCTTATGTGGACTTCTCTTAAGAACTTGTCGTTCATTGCATGTCTTATAAGGATTCGAAACCCTCTATCTGCTCCTTTTATCAGCTTAACTTTTATTATCGTTAGTGCTTCTGCCGAGATTACTCTCATTATTTCTGCCAAATTCTCTCTCCTTTCTACATCTATGTTCTGACATCTGAAATAAAGTTCCGGTTCATCGATCTATCCTTTCCATATTTCACACTTGCCATTTTCCTCCACTCTCAGTTTGCTGTCAGTGTCAACAATTTTCTTACCACTTTCATATGTGTCTGTGATTTTTCGAGCTCTGTCCTCAAACTTCATCACTGCCCCTGTACTTTCTGTATTTTGATCTATAATTTCAAGTCTCTTTTCAATTGTCTCTGTAATTATTAAAACTTTTTGAATTTCTAAGAAAATTCTTTGCAAAGTTAGTGCCTTTTCTTCTTCACATTATGCAATTTTCCAGGTTATAAACACTGCCAAAACATCCAAGACTTTTTAGGTTTCAAACAAATTCAGTGGAGTTTTTCAAATCAAAGCTTTCTCTTTCCTTCAAAGGAACACCTGTATAAACAAAATGTTTTCCATTGACCCTTTCAGTAAACAAAGCTTATAGCTTTGTAATATCAGATATTGCCAAGCCTCTAGTCACTAGATGGCAGTGTTACTTCTTTTCCATCTGTTTTTGCCTCTCTCTGTAAACTCCAAGCTCCAGAAGAGGAAAAAAATGTTTAAAAATTACGCTCCGTCCAAGCCTTACAAGAGAAGAAACTTTTAATCCACAAATACAAAAAATGGAAAAAGTATAGAGGAAGAAGGAAAAAAAAGGAGACCAGTCCAGTTTAAAAGTAAGAGGCATTTATAAAAAGTCCATCCATAAAAAACAAAGTTAAGGTAGAAAAGATAACATGAAAGTTTTAAACCAGGGTTAATTCGCCACTTATTTCCTTCTGTTTTCAATTTTATTTTAAAATCCAAGTCTTTTGGGTTTTCCCTTCTCTAATAATAAAAACAATTCTCACCATTTCAACACACTGTCTCTCCTGCACTGCTTCCAACCTTGTCCCAACCTTCTGCAGCCATTTTGGCTGCTTCTCTTGTAGCTGGCAAAAAGAGCTTTCTCCTGGATCAATTAGGGATTTTGCGATGTCCTTGAGATCAGTAGGACATGCTCTTCTCTATCACTGTTCCTTCAGAACAGTTTAGGTCCAAAAGGATTGTCCAGGAACAGAGATATCGACAGCAATCCTGGAGTCCCAAGATTGCATGTCGTGTCGCTGCGACATCAAGCCCCGCCTCCAGAATCTCTTCTTTCTGTTCAGCTTTAGGGTCTAAATTGTTTTAGGATTCTATTCAAGATCTCTATTTCCAATCTGAAATTAATCTTTTTAAAAAGCTTATTCTATTATTATTATTATTTTTTTTTTTTTTACATGAAAAGCACTTACAAATTTTCATGGTATGTGGTATAACTTTACTTCAAAAATTATTTACTTGAAGATTTTTATCACTTTTTAAATTTTGTCTTTATATTACAGAACAAGCCAATGAAGAATGACCCAGGGCTTCTGGCTGCACTTCATGGCTAAAATTTATGGCTTTTGGCTGGACCTTATCCTTGATCGCTCAGTTAAAATTTATATTCCTGTTTGACAAACAAAAATCTAGTTTTTATAAAAGCTTGTATAAACCTATCACAACTACTGAATGCTAAGTGAAAACCATTTTAAGAAATTTTAATGGAAAAATCAAGTTGCCAAGGCACCACTGAGGAACTCCATTGTTAAACCATCACACCTGCCAGAAAATGCCTCCTGCTATTGTTTCAAATGGAACTACAAATTGCAGAACACTTTTACTTGCTTTAGGTAGAAAATAAATATGAAGGATAATATAGCACAAATAATATAAATTGTAAATGTGATTATAGATAATCTTAGATCTAAGAATGTATATGGTATAAACTAGGGTGAAAATAACCAAAATCCAGTGGAGTTTTTTCAGATTAATTGCATTAAATTTCTTAGATGAAGTTTTTTGTAAACATGTAAGAATTGTAATTCTTATCTCGAAGGGGACCAGATGGGGTTAGGCTGATTTATAGCATGGATCCTATTCCTTCAATATGGTATAGGAAAGAAAATACAAATTTCATTTCCTGAAACTAATGAAAATAGTTATTGTGGTCCTCAAAATACTTAGATGGGCAGTAGTATGAATGTTGATATTTAAAAATTAGAGGAGATAGCCTACTATAAAAACAATTATATTGCAAATGTCAGGCTAAAAATGAAATAAATGATTGATTACAGTATTCTTTAAACTATGCAACCAATAAAGTGAGCAGAGCTGTGCTTCACTCATTTTCAAAAACACATTTATTCTTTGCTGCTATTTGTGTGATATGGCTGGTCTCATGAGCCTTCTCAATCGTCTCTAAAATGTAACCTTAAACTTTGAAATAAATAATATATTTGTGAAATATGGTAATTTTGTCCAAATATGGGTAAATATCTATGGGTATTGAAGAAAATGTATTAACTTACACATTTGGTAGAACACAGGAAAGCAGAAAGTTTTTGTAACTGATAGATTTTAGAATCATGCAATTTATGAAAGGGAAGGCATCTTATAGGTCAGCAATGGTGAACTTTTTGTGGCTCATATGCCATAAATGGGGAGAGCGCAGAGGGGTCGTGCACGGGTGTGCTGCACCCATAATGCAATGCATGACCCCCCAGTGCGCATGCCACATGAAAGATGCCCCCCAATTGTTTGCATGATTTATAGGAGCCTGGGGAGGGCAAAAACACCCTCCCCCCCGGAGGCCCTCCAGAGGCTTCAGGAGGCTTCCCTGAAGCCTCCGGAGGGCAAAAAATGACCCTACGAGCAATTTGCTTGTAAGGCCGTTTTTAGTCCTCCGGAGCATTCAGGAAAGCCTCCTGAAGGTACCTGAAACCTCCAGAGGGCTTAAACCGACCCTACAAGCAAACCGGAAGTCCGTTCCCGAACTTCCAGTTTGCCCATAGGGCCGGTTTTTTAAAGCCTCTGGAGCCTGGGGTGGGTGAAAAATGGCTTTAAAAAAAGTCTGAACTCAGCTGGCCTTGCGTGCCGTGACAAATGGCTCTGTGTGGCATGCGTGCCGTAGGTTCACCATCCCGGTTATAGGATATCCAGTCCCGTTCCTGCTCAAGAATCCAGTGAACTATTGATGTCCATTTTCCCCCTCCTTCCTATTTGAAAACTTCCAGTTGGAATTGCCACTAACAATTGTGTTAGGAAATGCTTCCTAATATTCAGTTTTAATTTCAACCAGTTGTCATTATCATGCTGTGTGAAAAGAGAAAGGCTCTGGATACAATGCTTTTATCCAGGGACACAGTGGCTCAGGGACTAAGACGCTCAGCTTATCGATCAGAAAGTTCGGCAGTTTAAATCCCTACTTGTCCCAGCTTCTGCCAACCTAGCAGTTCGAAAGCATGTAAAAATGTAAGTAGAAAAATAGGGACCACCTTTGGTGGGAAGGTAACAGTGTTCCGTGCGCCTTCGACATTTAGTCATGCCAGCCACATGACCACGGAGATGTCTTCGGACAGAGCTGGCTCTTCAGCTTTGAAACCGATGAGCACCGCCCCCTAGAGCTGGGAACGACTAGCACATATGTGCGAGTGGAACCTTTATCTTTTATTCTCCAAATTATGGTGCAGAATTTCAAGGTGATATCTTGTCATCTTTCATCTAAATCCAAGATATGGGACCTCACATTTCCTCTCTAGTTAATTCTTTGACATGGTTGCTTTCTTTCAAAATGCCTAAAAGCTTCAGTCAGTTGACCAATTCTTTCTTGATCAGGATTAGGTCAGGAGAGTTGACGACCTTATTTTGCCTTCGTTCTGAAAAATTAAACTGTCAGCAAGAGAAATCAATCCCCACCCACTCTTCTAGTTTAGTTACTTTTCCAGCAAATCTCAGATTATTTGAAGAATTTTACAGGTAGTTGTCAATTTACAACAGTTCATTTAGAGACCAAAGTTACAATGGCACTGAAAAAAGTGACTTATGACTGTTTTTGAGACTTAGGAGCCTTGCAACATCTCCATAGTGATGTGATCAAAATTCAGATATGTATGTATATGTATAATCTTTATTGTCATTGTAAATACAACAAAATTGGTTTTAACTTCACTGGTGCAAAATTATAACAGAAACGAAAAAAGAAAAAGAAAAAAAACTAGTGTGTGCATGGAGTGATTGTGGTTGTATTTAAAAGTCTCACAGCCCAAGGATAGAAACTATCTTTAAACCTGTTTGTTTGACTGGCTATACTTTGATGTCTTCTGCCTGATGGTCGAAGTACAAAGAGACACTGACCAGGGTATGAATCATCTCTGAGTATCTTCCTTACTCTGCTAAAGCAGCGAGATCTGGCGATGTCATCCAGTGGTGTCAGAGGGCAACTAATGGTTTCTTGTGCCGAATTGATCACTCTCTGTAGTGCCTTCCTGTCCGCAGCTGTTAAACCAGCATACCATACTGTAATACAATGTGTGAGGACATTTTCTATGGTGGACCAATAGAAAGAGGTCATCAGCCGTTGATTTTTTCGCAGGACTCTAAGGAAATGAAGACTCTGTTGGGCCTTCCCAATCACCAGAGACATGTTGTTTTTCCAGGTGAGATCTTGACTAATAAGCACTCCCAAGAATTTAAAAGAGGAAACCCTCTCCACACAGCCCCCCTCAATATACAGTGAGCCCAGTCCCTCTGTGCTTCTGGAAATCTAGCACCATCTCCTTTGTCTTACTAGTATTTAGGTGTAAATTGTTTCTTGAGATACCTTCTGGACTTCTTCCCTGTATGCTGATTCGTCCCCTCCAATTATGAGACCCAGCACTGTTGTGTCGTCTGTAAACTTTATTATGATGTTGGATGGATCAGAGGATATGCAGTCATATGTATATAGCGAGTACAGGTATGGGCTGAGCACACAGCCCTGAGGGGAGTCTGTGCTGAGCTTCAGCGTGGAAGATGTAAAGGACCCAACCCTTACTGTTTGTGGATGATCCATCAGGAAGTCTTTGATCCATTCACAAGTGAGGGGAGGGAAATTCAGGTCAGTCAACTTATGCTTGGCAACTGACTCATTTATGATAGTTGCAGTGTCCCAGGGTCATGTGATCACTTTTTGCAACCTTCAGACAAGCAAAGTCAATGTGGAAGCCAGATTCACTTTAATAACTGTGTTAATATTTTAACACTTGCAGTGATTCACTTAACAACTGTGGCAAGAAAAGTCATAAAATGGGACCAAACTAATTTAACAAACATCTCACTTAACAACAGAAACTTTGGGCTTAATTGTGGTTGTAAGTCAAGGATTACCTGTATTTAGGAAGATATTGTCTACAACCTTTGGGACATTAGTAGTAATCTTTGGTAACGATACCCCTTCTGTTTCTTATACTGTTCATCTTCATCTGTATGCTTTGTACAGAATTTCCAATATTTAGGAACAAGAATTCCCCAGATTTGCTCACAAACTGCATCCCTTTATGCCAGATCTACGGTAGACCTCAGTTAATGACTGCCCTGTTTAACAACTATTGAAACGTACATTAACATCCAAAATATAGCTTTACAACTAGTCCCCAAACTTATAACCATTGTAGCATCCCCAATCATGTGACCATCATTCAGCCGCTTGGCAATTAGCATATAAGACAACTGCAGCAGCCTGCAGTCACATGATCACCATTTGAGTTTAACAAGCAGCTTCTGACAACCAGTTGAGAAGCTGGCAATAATTTGCAAATCACAGTCATGTGCTATTCCATTTAATGATAGCAAATTATTTGCTTAACAGCCACAGCAGAACGGACATACGTTCAGCATTGTCCCATGATGTTTCATTTAATTAGTTGTTGGTCCCAACTGAATACTATCTATATTTGTTTATATGACAGCCAGTGTGGTATAATGATTAAAGACACCAGGCTGGAAACTCAGAGACAGTGAATTCTAATCCTGCCTTATGGTCAAATTACATGTAAAGACAGTATTAGTTTTTCTGACATTTTGGCCTGCATGTTCCAAGTGCAACCAAAGCCCAGTTCTCCCTCATGCTATTCTATGCAAGCTGGAATTTGGAGACCATTTTGTAAACCAACATGCTATTGCTTGCATATCAATAATTATGAGGTAGATACAATAAAATCATGGAAAAAGTTGCATAATATCAGTCCCTGGTTTTAGTCATATGAAAGCTGGCAAACTTGTTCTCCTAGGGAGTATCTAAATACCTTATTGCAAAATTTGATCATTTAAGAGAAATAGGGTGCCTAGCATAATACTACTGCTCTGTTTAAAATGCCTGTTTGTCTGGAATTTGGTGTAAAAAGATTTGAGACAATATCTAGTAAGATCAATCAATCACACACAGAATTATACCAATTTGTTGTGGAGGAAATTGTTGTGGAGGAAAAAACATTTGAATATTTCTGAATTGACATTCTAATTTGGACAGGCAAGCTGTTTTCCACTGTACTGAATTAAGATCCAAACTGAATCTTCTTAATAGAGCACATGCCTAAATCTGAGTATTAGAAGGTCTACTCAGAAAGCCCAAACACACTTTTACAAATAAAAAAAATGTGATGGTGTTATGTAATTATTATTAAGCATTTCCCTTCAAAAGCCAATTAGTTGTAAGAAAAATATAAATACTACACAAAATGTCTTGTCATGTTTTTCATTACAAAATTTGTAACAGCTTTGAATATTATCTTGTGAATCAGGCAAAATGTGAACTGGTAAGTTTAATAGCTAATTTTCCCAAAAGAAGAAGAAGACGAAGCCAAAACAGATTTATCAACACTGATCAGTGTTATAGCAATTTGATTTATTCTTCATAGATTTTTATCCTAATGTTTTAAAGTATACAATTCTGCTTAATGTAGTATACAGCTAGAGGTTAACCTTGATTCCCAAATTTTAGAAAATCTACTCTCTTACCTATGATAAGTCTATCTAAAGTGTTCTATTGCTTTTTCCTCCTCAAAATATGCTTTCAAGCAGCTTGCAGTATTTAATCTTGTAATGTCCTTTACTCATACTATACTCCAATGTTTCTCAACCTCAGTGACTTTAAGATGTATGAACTTCAACTCTCAAAATTCTCCAGCCAGCACACAGTTTAAAGTCACTGAGAATGAGGAAACTGCTATACGTGAATAAACAGACAGTCATAATGATGCAGTGGTGCCTATGAGTCAATCTGCCCACCCAAATAAATGAGCCAGATTCACAATTCAGGAATAACATTCTATAAGAGAATCGGTAGCAGAATTGAATTAATAGCAGAAGTGAGAATGATCATGGCAAAAGAAATCAGAGCTGCTAGATTTTAGCTGGTGAGGCATCTTGAAGGGGTCCCAAAATGGCAATAGCTTCAATCTCCACACAGGCATCCTGGAAGGAAGAAATATAACATATAAAATCAGGGCAGAGTTGATTTGTTTAATGTAGGGCTCCTCAAATTCTTCAGCTCATGATGTTTTAAATCAATGTTTCTCAACCTTAGTGATTTGAAGAGGTGTGGACTTCAGCTCCCAGAAATCCCCAACCAGCCTTGCTGATAGGGCATTCTGGGAGTTATGTCCACATTTCTTCAGGTTGCCAAGATTCAGTGTTTTAGATTATGCATTGGTACCTTCCCCCAGAAATTTAAAATATGAAAATAATAAATGCTACTTTGCTATGAATAATAATAAGAACATTGTCAAGTACCGGAGAAATCAGGAAATCCAGGCAGTTCAAATTAATATAAATGTTTATTTCAAGCTTAAGCTCTCTACAAGAATCTGAACTACTAATGTCAAAGCAAATTGGCAGTAGATAAGATTGGGATGGAATTCAAAGTGGGCTGGACTTAGATCTCTTGTGGTCGGGAAGGGACTAAAGACTGATGATTGTTTGACCCCTCCCTTGGGCTCAGCCTGGTTATCTCCTACAAACATTAACCCCTAGGATAGTCCCATCAATGTGTATGTGTGTGTCTGGGGGGTCATTATTGACTACTTTGAAGAACCCTGTTTAAAAATTTAATTAAAATACATTTGAGTTTACAAGGATAGAACACTTTCAGAATAAACCCTAAATTAATCAATATCTCCTCTCACAAAATCACAGTAATATGCAAAGCAAATCAGCAAAACATAACTGGTGACAATTACGCTCCGGAAGCCATCCAAAAAAGCTTGGTTGTATCAGATTCTGGAAGGCTATTATCAAAGACTCATCTCCCTTTTGAGAAATGCTGTGCATTAACCAAAATGTAACATTTTCTGACCTCAGGTCTCCTTAGTTCATAAAAATGGGACATCACTACTGGTTTCTCCTAGAAGACATCTCAGACTAACCCAATGTGGGACAAGAGTTCTGAACATAGCTTGGTACCAAGCCATATTGGACTTCATAGTGAAAACTAGCATTTCAAACTGTACTTCAAATTCTACTGGCAACTATTGAGGGCCTGCAAAACATGGGTAATAAATTTCAAAATAACAAGGAGCACTTAATAAGTACTAATAATAAGTTGATCCAAATAATAAGTTGATCCAAATGCAGCTTTTGTATGGACTTCAAAAGTAGCCCTACGTTTATTACAGAAGTTTAATCAGATAATGGTAAGTAAGGGCATGAGTCACTGAACCCAGGTTCTTCCATTCCAGTCACACAGCTGGCATACCAGCTATACATCCAACAGAACTATGAACCTGGGTTGAAGGCCTGGTTGCAAAGAAGCAGTGCCATCACCTTAGAAAACCCTGGAGCTAACAAAGGAACAGCAGCGACTTCATCTTTCTTGGGTTCAACTTTAACTTGTTTTGACCCATCCAATCTCCCTGTCCTGGGACATAGATTTAGCATTTCCAGCCAAATCTGAGGTAGCCAGACAAAGCTAAATATCATAAGCATATTGATGGCACTGCACCTCAGTTCCCAACACAGCTCATCTAAAAAGCAGAGGGTAGAGTGATCAATCTGAGCGCCCCAATTTGGCTTCTCTCTCTTATCCTTCCAGCCAAGTTTATATGAATTTAATTCTCTCTCTGCTGGTGAAAATCCAGGAGTTATCCCCTGCTGATGTTGCAATTACAGAAAATATTATCTCTTGTGCAAATTAGAGGATGATTCAAATCCTCTTAATTCAAATGAGAGGAGGCACAAAAAACAGTGCACAATCTATGAAGAAACACAGACAAGACTACACTAACAAAAGACGTAGCTAGTTTCTGAACATTTAAGAACATAACAAAATGCGACAAAGGTTTGCATTTTTTCTAATCTAAAAAACATTACATTCATTCCCAGTGTTTATAGAAATAAGAACTGATAACTTTTTACCTTTGGAAGAGCCACAACCTGATATGCAGCTCGGGCTGGAAAGTTGTACTTGAAAACTATACGGAGTAGATAAATAGCTCCAATTAATAACTAATTGCAGAAGTAGAGAATTGTATTTAGTTGAACTATGTTAAATAGAGTTATAAAGTTAGGTAAGGAAAAAGCCTCCTGATTCTATATAAATTCATATAGAATGCAAGTGGATAAATCAGCAATCTAAGAATTTAAATTCCCATTTTTTTTTCAAAAGAGAGCATCCAAAACAAATGTGTTTGCAAGGTATAAACATACCAAGTGAGACCTTGTAAATCATGAGGATTTATAGAAACAAGCAATAGTTTTAGTCCCATATAAAACACTTTCTAGCTAAAGGATAGCCAAATGAAAGAATTTGCATGCTTTTTAGCAGATTATAGACTTCAAATGTTCCTTTACAGTCTCTAGTACTGCTTTGTACTTTGAGATAATATAATTCATAAACTTCTATATCGTAGTTCTAGAAGAAGCCTAAGTACATATTTGAATATATCTCATTCAAACACAGAATAAGGTAAATACATTAAATATGTATTTAATGTATTTCAATAGCCATACTTACATTGCTTGTAGACTTCATTAATATCATTAAAATCCTTCATGTCGGTCATCAGTACAGTAGTCTTTACCACTAAAAACGAAGAAAACTTGTCTTCAATTATGCTTTACATCACCTAGCTATAAACATTTCAGCAGTCAATAAAATTAAGTCTGAACCTTTGTGCATCACATACACACTTCAGAGTAGGTTGGCATTTCTTCTGAGCAAACCTTCATAGAAATGTGTTGCAAGGGTCTTATCTGGCAAGTGATTTGGAATTGTGATTCTTTTTTTTTATGAGTAGGCTACCCCATTCCAAATGGTCCCCAGAGATCTCCAGAAGTTATTAACTGACTTAATCAAACTGAGTGTGCTGAGTTAGGTTGCAGTGGCTGAGTTAAGTTGCAGTTGCTGACCTAGAAACCAGGAGAATGTTCTAGGGCTCCCTTAGACATGAAAGCAGGGTAGGTGACTTTGGGTTACTCCCTCTCTCTCAACCCAATCCAACTAGTAAGATTGCTCGTTTGAGTTACATAAAAAAGTGGGATAAAAATATCATCATGCAGGGAACAATGATAGTGAACAATGATAGTGGACTCAAAAATGTTCACAGAAACAAATTTTAATCACTGTATTTTTCGGGGTATAAGATGCACCGGAGTATAAGATTCTGCAGACCTTTCAAAAATGGCCTATTTTTTGCAAAAATGGGCCTGTTTTTTTGTCAAAAAAAGAGGGCATGCATAACCTTTAGGAGGCTTATAGAGTGCTCCTGGGGGGTGGGGTGAATCAAAAACGAGAAAAAAACAGCTCATTTTTCGCTCATTTCTACCCTTCCCAGCCCCAAGGAACACCCTGGAAGCCTCCTACAGGCTCTGCACGGCCATTTTTGCAAAGGGGTCAGGGTTTTGGGAGGCCAAAAATACTGTATTCAGTGTATAAGATGCACCCAGATTTTTACCCTTTTTTTTTGAGGGAAAAAGGTGTGTCTTATACTCTGAAAAATACAGTACCTTTCAATGTTAATGGAGTGAAATGTTATGTTATCTTGTCACAAAGGCCAAATGTGATTCTTGACTCAGAAAAAATAGTATTATGAACATTAATTTGTGATTGTCATTTAATCTGACAATCTAAAAAACAGAGAAAACCCTTAAGAAAGAAAAAGTATACTAATAATCTCCTAAACTTCACTATCTTGGAGGGGAAGGATTATCAAAATACCCGTAGTTTTACCAGACAGAAAAGTTGCAGCACTAATCCACTATTCCAAGAAATGACACAAAATATGTATTATTTAAATTACTTATATACAACTTTTCTTCAAAAAGTCTAGAGATATTTTTTAAAAAAATCTTTAAAAAACCCAGCATAATAAAATCTTTAACACAATAAATATCAAAATTATACAGAGTAACAGCCTGGGTTCTAGTTATCCTGAACAATCTATTAATAACTGTTCTTTCTCATTAGGCAGAAAACATCTTTTTCTGTCCATCCATTTATAGATACGCTCACTAATTTATTTGAATGTAAACATACCATTAGAGGTGTCACAGCCAGCAGCTTGCAGAATTTCCCAAATGTTTTGGAGGGCCTAATGAGAACAATGTTGAATTTATTTGAACATGACAACATCATCCCTTGAGCTCAGAACAGGACACAATGGTAATCATATGCAAACACAAAAGTAAAACATCATGAAATATATGCAAGAACAGCCTATGGTAATGAAAACATACTATCTAGGAAAACATGAAACGATGGAAGTCCCAGTGCAGAGAGATTCCGTTACTAATAATGGAGAATATTTGTAGCTCAGGGTTGAACTGAGGGGTCCTTTGTGCTTTCTGAGCATGGCTGTTCTCTTGCAGATGTTTCATTATCCAAACTAGATAACATCATATGACTAGCATCTGATTCATTACCTACCCTGTTTCCCTGAAAATAAGACCTCCCCGGGTAATAAGCCCAATCAGGCTTTTAAGCGCATGCACTAAAATAAGCCCTCCCCGAAAATACTGCCACAAACAGCAGCCATGAAGTGACCATGCTTTCTGCCTCCTGCACCTCAAAAATAATAAGACCTCCCCGAAAATAAGTCCAAGTGCTTATTTCGGGGGTCAAAAGAAAATAATCTTATTTTCAGGGAAACACGGTAGTTTGGATAATGAAACATCTGCAAGAGAACCATCAAGCTCAGAGAGCACCAAGGACCCCTCAGAGATTCAATTACTTCACTGAAATTAACTTTCTCAAGATAGAAAAGTAAGCGTGCAACAAATGGCAATTACACACAGTAGCAGCTGAATTCTTTTCCTTATGCTAGACTGCCATCCATAGGGCAATCCTGAAGGAAACACAATTTTATACAGAAATGGTGTGGAAAAGGGCAGGTACTCTACCCTGTGCTAGAGTTTGCAGTGGTTCCTGGAAGATATAGAACTGGATCTTTATTTTACATGGCCAGTTCAATTGTTTATTTGCTTGGCATGCTCCTGTGTGCATTTTATATGTATACCTTTTCATTTAACAGTCTATTATGGCACCCATCATGTAGTGTTTGCTTAATGTATTTACCTTATTAAAAGCTTTAGGGAAATTATATTAATACCCTGAAAGATTTGTTCATAAAAAAAACACGACACAGGATGTGATGCTTCTGTCCTATGCCTTTCAAGCTGAACTGAGCCAGCATAATTGCCCTTTCACAACCACAATATCAGAAAGGTCACTCGGTTTTAATTCAAACATTTGTTGGCGGATAAAAGTTGATGATTTTGTCAATGGAAGTCAGAAGGCAGAAGGAATTAAATATTTGGCACTGGTGAATGGCGGGACTTAGTTCAGTCACTTTTTTTTTTTGCTGAGAGGATGCCTATTCTCTGAAATTGCAAGTAGGGATGTGTTTTATTTCAGCTCTATTGAACCCAAATAATGTCATCTATTTCCATAATGAAATATAATACCAGACCTTCTATTTTGAACTTTGTGAATCTGTTCTTTTCATACAACAAATGTTACATTAATCATCATCAAGCAACAACATCTGCTTATCTTATCCCACATCCTAAATCCAGTCTAAACATCTGGCTGACTATATGACCAGCCATAATAGTAATATTAGACTTGCTAGTAGAATAAGTGAGGTCACATTTCACCTGGTGAGTTTGTTCCTTTGCACCTCCTGGAACAAGTTCCCCACTGGAGGGATCCATACCAAGCTGCCCTGCGATATACATAGTCCGATCTACCAACACTGCTTGGCTAAGATAGTAAAAAGAAGGAGAAAGAGAAATCAGAAAAGAGAACAAGACATATTGATTGATTTGCTGTTTGAATATATAAATATTTATATATTCATATAGTATATGACATTCATATATTATATTATTACTAGTAACAAAAAACCTTGCTAGGCAACCTTTAGAAGTCTAGTTTATTTTCACCACTTTCTTTCTCTCTTTGGACACAGGTAGCAAATTGCATGGAGTTTCCCTCCATAGAGGAAATCCAGAGAAAGCAATTTGGATTTTTATTTTGAACATGTACATTTGTTCAATGCTGAAAAATAAATATTTTGGCTTATAAAGATTTCTTTGTTTGTTCAATGTCAATTTCTACGCAGCAAGAATTTAGTTCAAAAGAATATGAATCAAAGAATATTAAATGATGCATCAAAGTTATTACTTAAAAGTTGTTAATACGTTAATAACCTCCTCCCAAACTGGAACAATTATAGGTTACTCTATAAATATGCTTTTAAATATAGCATTAGTCATACTGCATGGCTAACATGGCAAGTTAGACCTCAACTATTTATTTAGTAACCGTCCAAAGTTACAATGGCACCAGTGGTGGGATTCAATTTTTTTACTACCGATTCTGTGGGCGTGGCTTGATGGGCATGGCTTGGCGGCCGTGGTTTGGTGGCATGGCAGGGGAAGGATACTGTAAAATCTCCATTCCCTCCCCACTCCAGGGGGAGGTTACTGCAAAATCCCCATTTCCTCCCGATCAGCTGGGACTCAGGAGGCAGAGAATAGATGGGGGCGGGGCCAGTCAGAGGTGGTATTTGCTGGTTCTCTGAACTACTCAAAAATTCCGCTACCGGTTCTTCTACTGGTCAGAACCTGTTGAATACCACCTCGGAATGGCACTGAATCAAGTGATTTACTGATTGCCTTTAAGACCTCTGCAGTATCTCCACAGTCACATGATCAAAATTAGGCACTTAGCACTTATTTATGGTTGCAACATCCCAGGATCTTATGATCACCATTGGCAACCTTTCCAGGTGGCTTCTGACAAGTGAAGCCAATAGGGAAAAATGGATTGGCTTAACAACTATGTTCTATGTTATTCACTTAACACCTGCCCCGATTCACTCAACAACCATGGTAAAAAAAACATCATATAATTGGGCACAACTCACTTATCAATCACCTTGCTTAACAATGGAAAGCTCAGTGAATTATGTTGTAGACAATTCTCTGAATATCTTTTCTTTAAAAACACAATGGAACCATTATTATTATTTTTGTTAGTTATTGGGGGAAGGGGGCTTGGTTGAATAAGACCTAATCTAAGTTCTGTTTAAGTTTTTGGTATTGATGTTAATGCTGCTGAAAAGAAATAAATGATGCCAACTAATCAATAATCTGCAAAGTTGAAGTTAACAGGATTGGGATGGGTTTAAATGTTATGAAATAATAGACATTAACCAAATGGCTATTTGGGAAGTAAATTCCCAAGTCTTCTTATAGTTTTTCTGACTTGATTTCTGACTATTCAATTACACACCTTAATTCACATGCCAGTTCAGCAAATACCTTTAGTTTGGAGTAGTACCAATTAATTTGGAGCAGCATTTTGCAATGCTCATATAGGGAAGCTTTCAAGTCAATTTAAATGAGATAAATATAGGCTGAGATCAACATTTGTGTTTACATGGCCGCCTACTGAAAGTTTAAAGTAATTTTTGAAAAATCCACAAAGTCAATTTTGTATAGGAAAAATAAAGTCTCACTAATGAATGCATGGCATTGAGCTTAGCTTCTAATAACTTTCAAAACATATTTTTGTTTTTATAAATGATATATTAAGCTGTTGCTTTCCCATTACCATTTGTCTTATCCTATTCCTATTCAGTATGGAATATATCTATTTCAATCACTTCTATTTCCTGATGTGTCTATCAGTACAACTTCTGATTCTTCATTTTTTCTTAGTTATGAATAGTCTCTAGCTAAGTGTTTCTCAACCTTGGAGACTTGAAGTCCTGTGGATTCTGGGAGTTGAAGTCCACAGGACTTCAAATCTCCAAGGTTGAGAAACACTGCTCTAGCTACTGAACCCTCAGTGAAAAATATATCATCTTTGTGTTTTTTCTCTATAACAAGTGTGTCCAACCCATGGACCTGGACAACTAGTAATGTGGCCTCGCATGATTATTACAATTTGTAGTAAAAGCTATATGAATGAAATTTGTTATTTATATACATTAATTATATTATATATTTTGTATGTGGCCTAAGACAATTCCTCTTCACTCAGTGTGTCCCAGACAAGCCAAAAGGATGGGTCTGCTTGCTCTATAGGTCATATCTTACTAAATCGGGACAGCTTAATTGAAAGTCCAATCATCTCACACTATTTCCCATCTGGCCAAGAACATACTAGGGCTGGAGTAAGAGCCCAACTTTATACCATACCATATATCTGATGAAGTGAGCAGTGATGAAGTTCATAGTAATTAATGCCTTTTAATAAAATCTGTTACTTGGAAAGGACGCTACCAGACTCCCGATTTTTGGTTACGATAGACTAATATTGCTCTCTTCCAACATCCACAAATTGTTGGCAAAAGTTTCTGCCATACAAGCAACTTCTAACAACTTTTTTTTAAAAAAACCACTAGATCCCATAAAAGCCTTCTCCTGAAGGCTGTGCCTTGAGAAAAGATTAGTCCTTTTTTACACATTATATTTTACACTAATTAGTTTTTTGAAGTCTGGGCAGCATTTGTAGAGATGACTAAAGATGCAACAACAGCAGGCCAGTACTCTTACGTAGTGAACCAATTACTAGCCCAATTTATCTGCTTGTGCAATTTTCCATTCTACAATTTTAAGAAATTTTGTCAGTAATGATTAAAATTCACACATAGTTACTGGAAAAGTTAGAAATAAAGAAACCAGGCATGAATTTGGACATCCTTTGCTTTCACCCCAAAGCAAATATTGCAGAAGGTGGGAAATGCTATGAACATGTGTTTTTATTAGTTACTTGAACAAATATTTAAAATATTGTAGCTTGAACCGAAAACAATGGAAGTGACAAAAAGGTATAACTATTATTATATTCCAGACTAGCATTTACAATTATTACATAGCTGATTCATGTTTATTATAATGATTATTTACTATAATTAGTAGTTTTTTCCAAGTCTCTTTATATATGGTAGTAGTCAACCAATGCAGAAAAAAGTAAAGTGAATCCCAAGTGAATACTCTAAATTAAAATCATGTGTCCTCTCAGGTGAGCAAAGCTGCTTCCTACCAATCTGAATAGTTTGTAAGTCCTATTCTCCGACTGGCAGTCACCTCCAAGCATTTAAGCTCATTCAGTGCTGCTATGCAAATCCTTAGTTTATTTACTAACCTGTTATTTTTATATGAAGTGAATTACAGATTTCCTTTGAACTAAGCATAGAGTGAGCTTCTACAATACATTGATTCGAGGGACTAAAAAAACAGTAAAATAGTAATATAGTATTAGAATTATTTTAATAAACATGAAAATAGGTACAGTATTGTTTTGCAAGTTTTAATTTGCCCACTTCAAAAAATAAGACCCTGAGGAATTTGAATTCAAGCAAACAGGAGTAGCCATTTTTAACTTTACAGTATTCATTAACTATGTCAGTTGAGCAATTGTAGGAAGGAAAAATCCACCCAGTTCATTTCCAAGCTGGGAGAAAGGTGTTGGGGAAAAAAATGGAGGCTGATTGGAAAGAAAGTTTATTGATGAGCAGAACTACAGCATGCAGTTCTGGGACAGCTGACCAAATGGAGTTGAGAGTGGGTGGGTTTTTATATCTTCTTTGGGCTTTGTATTTGAGCTTCCTGTTCCTGTGCAAGAAAATGACCTTTAATATTGTAATGGCTGTTGTCAGATTCCTATAGGGGTCATGGCTGGCTCTATAAGCAGAAGGGGAAATGCAAATCCTGGGTGTTTGTTAATCTTGTCAACCTTAATTGCTTATCTGGAGTTTCTGCCTGACTCAGTCTTTCTGAATGGATTACCAAATCTGAATTTCTAAAAGCTGGATTCCTCAGTTACTGCTTGGGGCAGGGACACTGGTGCTGGTTTCTGCCTCCATTAAGATTTTTCCCCCCATTTCTCCTTTAGGAGAAATATTCTATCCTGCCTTTTTAATATTCCCCAAAATATTTCATTCTCTAGGAGGGTAGGTGGGTGTTCCCTTTCTACACAGCTCAAGAATTATTTCGTAAAAATGCGAAGTAAGAAGCAATGAAAATGTAAAATTAAAAAAAATGAGTCGGAGGTTATACATTTTTTTCTCATATTGTGACCCAGATAGATAATAGTTTATTTTGTTGATTCAACCATTTAACAAGAATAACAAAAATGTAGCAAAGCTTCCAAAACCCTAAGTAAATAAACCCTTGTATCTGGTCAGTAGATACACCTTAAAGCAGGCGTCCCCAGCCCCCAGTCCGTGGACCTCCACCGGTCCACGGCATGCCAGCAACCGGACCACACAAACAAGCGAAGCCCCATCTACGGGATGCAGCCAGCACATAAAACCAATACCCCTTCAGTCCATGGAATAACCTTTCTCCACGGAACCAGTCTGATACCCAAAGGATTGGGAGCCTCTTCCTTAAAGAATCTACAATGCTACATTGAGGTTATAGGAAATATATATATATATATATATATATAT